GTTATTGAACTGTAGTATTATGTAAATCTGCCCCGAGAAAATCTGCAAGCAAAGTTTATATTGTCAATTTCACACTGCGTTATAACGTGGAGTCATCATCTGAGTATGCACAATTGTTCGTCTAGTGTTCCCCAACGCATATAAAAATCCCTTTTGAATTTGGGGGACTTTGTGTGACTGACTGTTGTGTTTGTAAACTTTAGTCGAACTCTAGTAGTGTTAGTCCGGCAGAAGGAAGGGCGTTTTTGGCAAAATCTTGTAAGAGGGTCCATAGTTTTTTTTATTGTCCAAAACTATTGTCCATGTTGTTAGCTTCACAAAACCACCTGCTGGCTTTCTGTCTGCATTGGGCAACTTGCAGTACAAGGGCGTATGTATGTGTATATGATACAATTAGTTTTAGTACAGGCGATTTGTGTTATTAATGGTTTGAGTACCTAATATTTTCTCTGTTACCCTTTCATGGCCTTTATTTTATCCTACATGAAAATAGTGTATAATTCAGAGCAGTGTTTGAGTTCTATTTGGGTATATCCTTCAATATGTGGATAAAATCGGCTCCGAATAGCGTGAAATCACTGTCCAAAAACATGTTGGTTCTGTATATATGAAACCTCGTAGAATAAACAGATGCATAAGTAGTTCAAAACTTTCTCTGTTATCTTGTCATGTTTTAAAATTGTTATTATAATACCATACTCATTCCGTGATATTAATGCGACTTTCTCATTGGTTATTTGGCATCACATGATTCCATATTATCAGACGACATAAGGTAACCAGACGAGCCCGCCCCAGAACTAGCATTGAATCACACAATCACCACATGGTTGAGCTCACAAAGAACATTTTATCATCACTTATCAGACAACAAGTACGAGACAGCACTCGCAAAGATATGATGGCTTATGTGCGTTCTCTCAACGCATCATGTTTTTGGTTGTGGTTAATGTAAATTTGCGCACACGTTTCTGCATTGCAACATTGTCTATGACCAAACGTGCGTGTTTTCCATGCTGATTCAGGCGAATTTAGTTAGAACTCGTCCTTGTATGGACAAGAAACGGTGAGTTTTTTAGCTCCGCTGTTGACTTTGTCGAGCAGAGCTTATCATATGAGTGATTGTCCGTCGTCTGTGTCAATGTTTTACATTTTCGACTTCTTCTTGAAAACTAGAGGCCTGAAGGCTTTGATACTTGGTGTATATGTACCTTGGGTAGACCTCTCTCAGATTTGTTCATTTCATGATCATATCTTCAATTCTCTAATTTTGGTGAATATTTTTGTCATTTTTGGTAAAAAGTGATATTTTCAACTTCTTGTTAAAAACCACAAGTCCAATTGCTTTGATATTACATATACAATGTATAGGTACTACATGTGGACCACTCTCAAATTTGTTCATTTCATAATGATATCTTTAATTTTCTAATTTTGGTGAATACTTTTGTCATTTTTGGTAAAAAAGTGATATTTTCAACTTCTTGTTAAAAACGAAAAGTCCAATTGCTTTGATATTACATATATAGATACTACATATGGACCACTCTCAAATTTGTTCATTTCATGATGATATCTTCAATTCTCTAATTTTGATGAATATTTTTGTCATTTTTGGTCAAAAATGATATTTTTGAATTCTTGTTGAAAACAGCAAGTCTCATTGCATTGATACTATGCATATTGTTCATTTTCTAATGATATCTTCTGTTCTTTAATTGAAATGTGCATTGCTAACAGCTGAGCTATCTCAGCCGAGAGGCTGCTTGTTGTGAAATAACGGTATTATAATTGGAATTAACGGTGGCCAAACAGATCAAAGCTGTAATAAGCAACATTGAAATTGATAGGAACAGTTATCACAGCCACATTAACAAAGATATATGTCCCATGTTTCAAAGTGTCACCCTCAGTGATATATTGTCAAAGGTTAGCGAGAAACTAAATATGTCACGGCCTGCTTTTCTGAAATATTATCACCTCAGTAGTGAAGAACCTAGCCACTATATTCCAAAGAACAACTCAAGGCCTTCTATGATTTAGGAATAACATGTTCTTATGATGAATTACTGTGATTCAAGAAATCTGTTGCCTCTGTGACAAATGCTAACATTGACCTCACTGGATTGAAGGGACAAGTAGATGGCCTGACACAAGGAGTGGGTGACAATTTTGATCAACAAATCCATTCACAAAATGGAAAAGTCCAAACACATTCTATGGGTTTACTTATGACCCAGATAGACAATAAGGAAAACCATGATGATACTGAAGAATTAATACCAAGACAAAGTTTCAAATAGTGCAAGAAATTCCATATGATTCTGAGGTTGGTCGTTATGCAGGTCCAAAGAAGGCAACACCACCTGAAAACACTATGAAAATAAAAGTTGCCTTGAGCAGGACCAGGGAAAGGGATCTTGAATTCTTCAAGGTTATGTACAATGGCAGCCCAGAATATAATGGGTACAACACAAAAAGAACAATGGAAGGACAGACCTTGCAGCCAAGGACTAAGGCAGTTTACCTTCCTCTGATTGATATGAGTTTCTCTGAGGCAACAGGACAGCCATTCACTTTATTCACCTTAGACCAGCAGCTCTACAGATATGCTTTGGGCAATTCTAGAGCTTTTTCCATCCTCCTCGTTCATCATAAGACTTGGTTGAATGAATGTGCTCATTAGCTACATTGGTGCCATTGGGAACCTAATGACCGAAACTGGACTAACAGCTATCATGTCTTTTGTGTTTGCTGGGGTTCCGAAAATGCTAGTAGGCAAGAAATTTCCTATGTGCACGAGGGCACTCAGAATGACGACAGAAGTGATGCTTGAACCAATCATCAACAATCTTACAGAACAATGCTATGGTACGTTCATGGATAATTTAGAAGAGAGAGCAGAGAAAAGCAGGACGTGTAGGCTTTGGCTTGAATGTCTGATCAAACCTGTCTTAATAATGATGGCTTATGTCAGAGCTGAACGGGAGGGAGATTGGTTACTACATGTCTACTGTGTGAAGGCCATGATTCTATACTTTTTTGCTGGTGGACATCAAAACTATGCCAGGTTAGGTCTGGTGTACCTGAGAACAATTGAGAATTTGTCAGAGCACATCCTGTCCTACTTTCTCAATGGAAAACATGTAATGTGACACAAGGAAGGTCTTTGGAATAGCTAATGGAGCGACCTTTTTATAGAATCAACATTTATGAGGCATGGGCATGGACGAGCAGGAATTGTTGGAATCGCACTAAAACCAGAAACTTAGGCACTCGGCCTTCACACCTGTTCTCAATTAATGGACAGGTACCCTCATGTATACTTCAAGTTTTCATTAAAACAAAGTCAAAGTTTTTGAAATTGCTTTTTTGCCTGTTCGCCAATCCATTGCTCCAAAACACACCTTTAAATACTCTTATTTCCCTGCATCAAGATGGCTCTGCCAACTCTTGTTTCTGTCTTGTGGTTGCAAGCAGACACACGGGTAACTGTGACAGATCGAATATGGAGTGCATCTAATCTTTCTAGTACACTGCTTTGTTTACAGGTGAAGAAATACATGATGACAATGAAGATAGCAACATAGATAGTGAAGATAATGCTAATGTTAGTACTAAATATAGACTAGTTGGTGTACTTGTACATAGTGGGCAAGCCAGCGGTGGACATTATTACTCGTATATACTTACAAGGTAAGAGCTAATTTTTAATCTTAATGAGATGGCCTCTTAACATGTTGTTGTGAAGCTACAGTCAAACCTGTCTTAGCGGCCACCCTCAGAAAACAGTCACCTCTCCGGAGCAGTTACCCTGCAGCAGTCCCGTGCAATTTGCCATGTAATTGACACTCCATAGAACGGCCACCTGTCTAACGCGGCCAGGTTTCAGTGGTCGCAGTGACCAATTGAACTGCATGTAAAGGGCATAGTTCCCGGATGTCTTGCAAAGAGTACAAAGATTAAGCGAGGCTCCAAAGATCACAAAGGACAAAGTTAGCACGTTTTAACACCTTTGGCTTTGGCAATTGTTTTTTTTTTCCTAGTTTATAATTCAGTTTATCACGGCCAGCACACCGTACCGATGGCCTGGGAACTCCAAAAAAATGATTAAGAATTTGCAAGTGTCCTGATAATAACATGTCATTAATATTTTCTTGAAATATGTATACCATGGGAACAGAAGAAGTGCTATGTACATCGGCTTTGTACAATGACTCAATCAGCCACAATGATGTCAACCCGCAAACTTTTTTGAATCTCCGGGGTGAATCTGATTGCCGACGTTAAATCCCCGATCGAATTGATTACCAACAAAAAAACATAACAACTCACTTGTTATTTAGTATCGATATTTATTCATTTAGACTTTTATAAATATCGACAAATATGCATGTAACTGGAACTAATAGCAAAAGGAAAAAAATTAACGCAACGGTCATGCCTGTTTATCCATCCAAATAAATTATGCTAATTAGCCTCGCGCATGTGCGTTCTTGTTCTTCCGGGGTTATGATACCTCGGGTCAAAAAGTAGTATCGCTTCCGCTTCGATCGCTGCAAGGGAATGTGTGTGCAGTATCGTCTCCTTGTCCAACTAAATTCGTTCAACAATTTTTGTTTTAGTCGCTACTGCATCGGTACATGTAACAATTGATGATTTTAACAATGATGTTCAACTGACTTCAGTTCGCCGGCCAAAGTCGCCAGGCATATTTCAAACGTTTCTATTGTTGCAGCGGTACAATAACATGGAAGTCGCCCAGATTTTGATTGCGCAAGGTAGTGTTTTGATTAAAGGGGTCAACCATTTCGTAAGTGAGGTAGGTCAGGAAGATTTTGAAGAAAATATATAAAATGTTTTAAAGGGAATTGTGGGGGGGGGGGGTACTGTCAAGTTGTCACATAACTGGAAGGAGATCCTGCACTACTATAGATAAGTATTCTTTTCATGTATGTTGTAGGGATCAATAAAGCTCTTCTAAATCTGTCCTTCTATCCTATAGCCCAGGGACATTCCAATTTATTAGAACAGTTACTAAGTGTACACATGGAGTACGTCCATGGTGTACAAGACACAATAAATATTAAAAGAAACATAAAAATCAGAACAGCTAAGCAAAGCAAGCTGAGTGATTTCTTTAGTAGGAAATAAGACTAAAACTGCAGCTGAACATGAACTTTACTGTACTAATCTTCAAACATTCAATTTTCGATACCACTCATTATTTTTTATTTGTAAAAAGTGTTTGGACACTGTGTACAGTAGTGTGACAGTGTGTGTCAAACAGGGTTGTGAGATCTGTTTTATTACATTGATGTAATGCCTAATTAATATTCATGAATAAATTAGTGAACCTGTATAGAAAGGTCACCTGTCTATAAAGGCCAAAATCTCCAAGTCCCCTGGGTGGCCACTATAGACAGGTTTGACTGTAATTGTATTTTGATATAAATCATAGGTCTGGTCCAGAGGCTCCACCAAGGTGGTACAAGTTTGATGATGGTGAAGTGACGGAATGTAAAATGGATGATGATGAAGAAATGAAGAATCAATGCTTTGGGGGAGAGTACATGGGTGAAGTGTTTGATCATAACATGAGAAGGTAATTAACACTGGTACAATCAAAAAAGTTGAAACCTGCAGCAAGTCAATAAGGATTGCAATGTCTTTGTGTTATAACCAATACAATTGCAGCATTGAGAAATCCACTGACATACATTGCCTAATTATTCATAACCAGTGCATTTCATTGGTGGTTAGTGTTTAGTTTGCACGCTTTCTCTAGATACAGGGATGGACTAGATTTTTATTTTGGGGCTCTGTTCATGTGTTCCAAGTCATTTCTTAAACATGTCTGGGCCAATTTTTGTTTAACTTGGTACAAAAATAACATATGATGGGTTGCATATGTACGTTTGTTTATGATTTTATTCAAAATTGCCTGGCCAGTTTCTTTGATCAGTTTTGTTTTAATGATCTTTTGAGCAGCCATTTTGTTTTGTTTTTCAATTTTGTTTAAATTTGGTGCAAAGGAAAGATTGGCTTTATATGCATCAGTGTTTCAATGAAATTTACTTGACATTTCCTGTTTTGTGGACCCAAATATAAATTCTACCAAATACAAACATGACTATGTCACAGACAATGACTTGTTATTGAATATTTAAGGATGTCTTATCGAAGACAGAAGAGATGGTGGAACGCTTACATCTTATTTTATGAGCGTAAAGACATTTCAGAGAAAGAATTGAGCAAACAATTTCAAGAGCTAAGTATGTGCTTTTATATTTGTACCATTTTAACTTTACACTGGTATTTTAGACAACATTTTGCTAATTTTTATTTGCTTTTCTGTAATTTGTTTGTGTTAATTTTAGACTAAGTGGAAACAAGGCCCCCATTAGTTTCGGGCCATGATTGAACAAAGTTTTGAGAAATATGAGGGATTATTTTATGAGAGGATAATTTTGTTGGCTTTGCAATGTGTGTGTCTACAAGATTATTTCATGACATACACTGTAATTTCCCTGATATATCAATATTTGACCTTTCAATAATTTTTATTTGGTGTACTATAATTTAGGAAAATGTCATATATTTTCATAACCAGTTATCAGATTTTCACTGAAACCTAATATACTTCATTGCTGTCGGGTAATCCTCAAATGTATTATTTAGTTTAGGGTTCAAACCATCCATATCAATTTTCTTATTTGCATATAGTGAGCAATTTTCATATAATCATTTACCAGATTTAAATTAAACTTTGCGCATAGGTGTTGTGGAATAAATCACTGAGTGGCAAACCTCAGATGTACAATGAAATCTATGCCTTTTGCTTTATAAATAACAATTTTTCTGTGATCAGATTGCTTTCGTATTTTGAATCAGATCTTTTCCCTGCTTCATATGCATCCAATACCCAAAAGCACATGGGTTCTTTCTAAGCTTTCTGTGATTATTATTTTCAGAGATCTCCAAAGAAGATAAATTACGGGTGTTGCACAGGATGCCATCATCAATAGAGAGGGCTGTGAGAAAACAGAATATTTATTTTATGCATAACAAAACACACTTCAGTACAGAGTATTTTCAGTTCATGAAAAATCTCATACGATGTAATGATTTTCATATACTACCACCACCTGGGCAGGATCAACTGGTAAGTAAGTCAACTCCTGATAGTGTATTAGACAATGTTTGGAACTGAGTCTAATGTACAGTACTGATTCGACCCAACCTCCCACTTTTATTGCTTTTTTTCCCCGACTGCTTATCGCTTAATTTCCGACCGCTCGCTGCTTTCCGACCGGAAATCGACCACTTTTTTTTCACTTGCTCGCTCGCATTTGTTTGCTCGCTTCAGAAACATTGTCCGCTTGCCAACTGACCACTGGAGTAATGATGATCGTACATTGTATCTATGAACTTATGTTTTTATTCGTAATAAATTTAGGTTTTAATGACGATTCAAAATACAGCGCGTATTGCTTCTCTGTATATGGGAAGGGGGACAAAGACACCTTCAAATCACTTGACACATTGTAACGTTTGCTACGCAAGTCGAACTGTGACCTGTATTTACATATTTACGTCCTTGTGTGCGTAGTTCCAGCAGCTATATAACTGGTCAATCAATCGTGATATGTATTGAGTACTAGTATTGTGTGTTGTGTGTGTGTGATTTTGACGCTCAAAATAATTTGACACTTTGTTATTTGTGAACGCAACTCACACTATGACCCTTACTCAATTTGCATAAGTAATACGAATGCTGTAGTTCAAAAAATCTATCGGATTAACTTTTGCTCGTGTCTGGGTGCGCAAAACAAAACTGCACATATAATTATCGCATAGCTGAATTTCTGCAAAACAATTGGACTTAAAACTACTAGTATAACGACTGTGACGATTAATCGTTTGTCTGAGTACATGCGGCGACGAATTATTGGATTGGCAGCAGCCGAACGAAAAATGAAAGAGAAGAAAACAAAAAACAAAACAAACACAGCCAGTGATACATTTTAAAAATAAAAATAAAAAATAAACGCAGTCAGAGGAGCCGACCTCGTGCGTTGGAAATAATCAAAATGTGTTGTGGCACACTGGCAGCCTCATCAGACTCTTTCACTTACGCAATATAATTATGCTATTTTCCAAAGCACTTATATTCAATACATTGACGAAAAACACCGCAAGAAAAATGTAAATCAGGCTTGTAATTACTAGTAACTCAACTCAAACGCAATATTAATCACTGGAAAAGTGGATAAATTCGAATCGTCATCAAATAATGTCTGCGATTGTGTGAACATGATAACGTGCGAACAAGGAACAGAGCTCGTGGTCCACCAAGGAAACTTTTTTTATCTGACATCGATCTTTTGACGTCGTCCCTTAGCGATGACGCAGTTATATGTATACGGCTGTTGAAAACAGAGACTCCTTCGACCTCATATGAGCAGGTTTACGTGGATGTTCCATTTTCAACTAATACCAACAATACTATGGTAATATTAAAGAATTTCCGTTTTTGACATTGTGAAATTTTTTTATTTTTATGTAGAAAAATACAGTGTTTTTACCAATTAAAATATCATATTTTACATTTTAATTAAAATTTAGCATTTTTTTATGTATTTTTTGACTCCCGTGTGCGAAGCACAAAAGGGAGTCTTTGCAGTTACCCTGTCTGTCTGTCTGTATGTATGTATGTATGTCACTTTTTTTGTTCCACCGTTATCTCAAGAACCACTAATCAAATTTTCGTGAAACTTGGTACATAGATGCTCTGGGATGATGCGCAGAGTTGATTAGGTTTTGGTAAAAATCTATGAATATTAATTACCTAATTTGCATGATAATTAGCTGATTTTTAGCTGTTCCACTGATATCTGAAGAACCACTCATTGGATTTTGATGAAACTTGGCACATAGATGCTCTGAACTACTGCGCAGATTTAATTAGTTTTGGGTAAAAATCTATGAATATTAATTACCTAATTTGAATGATAATTAACTGATTTCAAGCTGTTCCATGACTGTTCCACTGATATTTGAAGAACCACTCATTGGATTTTGATGAAACTTGGCACATGGATGCTCTGAACCAATACGCAGATTTGATTAGTTTTGGGTAAAAATCTATGAATATTAATTACCTAATTTGCATGATAATTAACTGATTTTAAGCTGTTCTATGACTGTTTCACTGATTTTTGAAGAACCACTCATTGGATTTCAATGAAACTTGGCACATGGATGCTCTGAACTAATGCGCAGATTTGATTATTTTTGGGTAAAAATCTGTTAATATTATTAATTACCTATATTAGGGAACTGATCATTACCACCCAGCCGGTTTCCTGTGAGTTTGACTCTGTTTACCATACCGGTCGTTGCTTTACCCTACCGGTCGTTGCTTTACCGTACCGGTCGTTGCTTTACCGTACCGACCGTTGCGTTACCGTACCGGCCGGACAATTACCGTACTGATAGGACCAATACCGACTATTTATCACCTTCGATTAATGAATGCATGGTAAACAAAGCCCCGGTAACTGATCGGCGCCC